CCCCCCATCCTATTGACAAACGTCCTCTGGCATTCCTTTGCTCAGGTCTGACTCTGCCAGCATGCGCAAGGCCTAGTTTGGATCAGGACAGTGGGGAAGGCCGGGAGTGGATTAGGCTTCCCCTCAACACGCAAGGGGGATTTAAGCATAGCCCATCAGTACAGAGGACAGATTATGTTTAACCAAGGACTCTTCGGTCTGCTTTCCCCCCTGAAATGAATGGGGAAGTGTTACAGGCCAGAGGACTTAAACCAGGGATCCATTTTCACAGCAGGTCCCTGAATCGGGGCATGTTTGCTATATCCGTTTAGAAAAAAGTTACAAGTTATATGGTCCAAAATCCGCTAGCATTTGCTTTTTCTTTACAGTAGGCCCAACCCTCTCTAGTCTGTGGGGAGGTGTGCGGTTTTGAACGGTTTCCTCATTCCCTGCAGGTAGAAAGCTAACGTGCAGGGTTAAACACCTTCCTTCCTGATGTGCTAGCTTTCCCACAGACAGGGAGTCTTCGAGTTCAGGGGGGAGTGTTCAAACACTGGATACTTCATTTACAGTCTGCGGTGGCTTCAATCCACAAAGTATTCAGCCAAAGGATTCAGCAGTGGGATACCAGCACATTTGATGGGGTGATCCTAAACAGCATTAAAGGTAAAGGTAAAGGTTCCCTTGCTCGGAAGCCAGTCGAATCCGACTATAGGGTTGCGGTGCTCATCTCTGTTTCCAAGCCGAAGAGCCAGTGCTGTCCAAAGACATTTCCATGGTCATGTGGCCGGCATGACTAAACACCAAGGCGCACGGAACACCGTTACCTTCCCACTGAAGTGGTACCTATTTATCTACTTGCAATTTCTTGCTTTCGAACTGCTAGGTTGGCAGGAGCTGGAACTAGAGACGGGAGCTCACTCCGTCATGCGCCACACTCGGGTCTCGAACTGCTGAACTACCGACCTTCCACAGCCTGTAGTTCAGCATCTTAACCACTTGAGCCACCGCAGCTCCCTAAACACCTTTCTAAATCTGTTGAAATCAATGTGGTTAGAGGAACGTAACTTTGCACTGGATGGCGCTACAAATGGGCTCAATTTGGGTAGTGAACGCCCATGCTGACATCCCTCCGATAGGCTCATTGCGGTTCAGATTTCGAATTCCCATCCTGAGGAACCTGGCCCTCTTTCACCCCTGTGGTATTATTCAAAGACTGGAGAGAAAGACGTCAAATGGGAGGTTTGTGGTTTCCAGATGCTAACTCAAAAGTAAAGGGAGACCTACAGGGCTGTTGTTATTTCACATAAATTCAAATCTGCCCTCCCCGCAGACTAAAACTAGATGTCACGTTGCCCCCCACAAGGTTCTCAAGCCAGATTTACTCCCGAATAAGTCTTTGTATTTAGTGCATTTTTATCCCAGCCTTCCTCGAAGGGGCACGCAAGTTTCTCCCTCCCTTCATTTTATCCTCACCACAGCCCTGCAAGGTAGGTTAGGGTAATGACGGCAAGCAAGGATTCGAATCCAGCTCTCCCCAATCTTAATCTGACATTCTCACTCCTGACAGGGGCTCTCGCATACAAATCTGATGCTGCGTAGCAGTTAGAGTGCCAGATGAGGAGTGAATTCGAATCTCCACTCAGCCACCCTACTTTGCAGGGTTGTGGTCAAGAGGAGGAAGGGGGCATTCCGCCTGCCACCCTGAAGAAGACTGGCAGACAAAAGTGATGGGAGACATAAAATACGGACACAGAAGGGGATCAACAGGGAGTCAGGCTTAACTGATTCCCTGCATGCTTCGTTCAGGAAAAAAGAAAGTGCCGTTGAGGAAAAGGACTCCTTCGAAGGACTGTTGTCGTGAGGGGAATAGGAAGACGCCACCCGTGTCTTGCAAATGCCATGCCCCAGCAATCAAGCCAGGGTGCCAAAAAATGGGGTCACAGATCCTGCGCTCACCATACAGGCCAGTTGTAGCCTCTGTAGCAGGTGGTCTTCTAACCCACTGGAAAAAAAATTACGTTCTTGCCCTTGGATGATACCCCCTTCACACCATGTGTCATTAATGTGGGGAGGAATGGGGATAGAATATAGACACGGGGCACAGACTACCACTCCAAACAGTGAACCAAAGCCAACGGAAACTGGAGGAGACGCTTTCCAATGGATCGCACTTGGAAGGTGTCCCTAGGTGTGGAAATAACTCCCAAGATTTACATTCGCACCACCCACAAAGCCCTCTGGCCTGACCTCCAGAACATGCACAAGAGCATCAGTGCGATCTTGCACATCTCCCATCACTTTCCAAGGGAATGGTCCCAATGTCCCCAGAGCTGTGCGCCTGGAGAACCGCAAAGAACATGTATTTCCATACCCAGCAGCTTCCTGCCCCTTATCAAGTCACAGCCGACTTATGGTGACCTTGTAAGGTTTTCAAGGCAAGAGACATTCAGAGGCGGTTTTGCCACTGCCTGCCTCTGCGTCACTACCCTGGTATTCCTTGGTGGTCTCCTTTCCAAATACCAGCCAGGGCTGACCCTGCTTAGCTTCCGAGATCTGATGAGATCGGGCTATCCAGGAGCTATCCAGGTTGGGGAAGCTTACTAGGTGGTTATTAAAACAACAATTGTTCAGGGGAGTGAATCGGGAGAACAGGGCCCCCTCAGAGCCCACGAGAGATTGTCTTGATAGAAACAGGGCACTTAAAATGGGGGGGGGGATGGGTCATGGGCTATAGATCTAGTAGGCGCTCTTCACACGTCTCCACGGGCCATTTAGCCGCGCCGCCAAAGACATCAACGTTGTTGTCGACCCACGGTATGATGTTACCGGGCATGTTGGTCGAGCAGTTTGCGATATTCATGATGTCTTCGGGCTTCAAGACCCTGTCCCATATATTGAACTGGCTCATCTCGCCAACGAAAGCCTGAGTCGCATCAAACCGTCCGCCAACGGTGTCCTTTGAGGAGGAAAAGAATAAATTCAGTTTAGTTCCCATTAAATGAACAAGTTTAGAGTCCAGCAGCACCTTTAAGACCAACAAGGGTTTATTCAAGATATGAGCTTTTGTGTGCAAGGCACACTTTTTCAAAAACGTTGGAATGGAAGGTAAGAGTTCAGACTTATAGACAGAGACTGAACAGCCAATTAACATGTAACATGATGAAGATGTTTTAAGATACGCAAAGGCAAAACTAAATAACAAGCTAAGGTTATAAGGTCAACAATTGTTTTGATTTAATAAAGGGGGGAACAGTAAAGCAGTAAATATGTCAAAAGAGGAGATAAATGTGTAAAGGTATCTTTTCTAATTGTGGGAAGTAAACTGAAACTCTCCATTCGTCCCCTTGCAGGCGTGGAGGTAACTTAACAGGATTAAATGAGTCTGCGCTCCAAAGAAATGAGAGGATGGTTCGGTCAGCCCCATTTATTTAGAAGGCTAGAGGTTTTTTTTTTAAGAAGCCCTGCGATTCCTTCTAGAGCTCAGGGTGGGTGTCTTCCACTCTGTTTTGTCTTCACAACAACCCTGTGAAGAAGGTCAGGCTGAGAAAGACTGACTGGCCCCTGATCATGCTGTGGGGCTCTATGGCTGGTAACAGACTTACTTATTATTTATTTACATCATTTATACCCCTCATCTTACCTAGTTTTTCTTCTCCATCTTGCCCTCACAGCAGCCCTGTGAGGTAGGCTAGGCTGAGAGTGTATGACTGGCCCGAGGTCACCCAGTGAACTTCTGGTTAAATCCAATCTCCTCCTCCTCCTCCTCCTCCACACCCACCTGAACCCAGGTCCAAGTTCTATATGCTAGCAGCTATACCAGACTGAAAAGTTCAGATATGCGGAATTGTTCGGGTATAATTAGAGAGAGAGGTGGTGGAGTGGTTCGGTGCTGGGCTGAGACTTGTGAGGGTGGAGTTCAGACCCCAACCCTGCCATGGAAGCTCACAGGATGACCTTGAGTCAGCCCCTTCCTCTTAGCCTAGCCTACCCCGGCGGAGAGTTGTGGGGACAAAATGGAGGAGGAAACCATTTAACTGTGCCTGGACTACTTGGAGAAAGGGCGGGATTAAAATTAGATAGGCAGTATGCCGGCATGGGGGACTGATATTGCACTCCCTCGTCGTTTGCCCCTGGGCATCAGATATTGTGGTCTCTCGCTGTTTGGCCTTGGACAACTGATAGCGGGCTCCCTCACTGTTTGGCCCTGGGCAACCCGTACTCAGTGATACCTTCACAATCATGGCTAATAGTCGCTGCTGGCCTCTCCTCCATGATTTTGACTCATCTGCCTTTTAAAGCTCTCTCAGCCAAAGGCCATTGGCTCTAGAGCATCACAGAAGAGGAAGCAGTTAGAATGTTGGAGTAAGTCCACCTCCTCAGTTGCAGAGTGGGGACAAAATGACAGACAGAAATTCCCTGACATTTCAACTATCACACCATGCTGGATCTCTTCCCCCCTCTTGCTGCTTTGTTTATCCAGGGCTTCCCCACCCCCAACCCCAATGATTCCCTTGGAACCTTTCTGCCTCCCTTCTGGGCACGACCCCAAATTTCAGGCCCCATAGAAATCCATGTGTAGAAACTCGAGCTGCAGTGTTAGAAGAGTCAAACAACAAATATATACACTGCAAAAGCCTTATTTATAAGTTAAAGTGTTCTATATGTTCCATCTTATAAAGTGCATTGTGTATTATTCTAAAAATATTCACTACATGCAATATCAACCATAATAATCAATTTGTACAATCTAATAGCTACCAGTCAATTTACATCCTTTTTACACAATCACCCCCAACGGGAGTTTCTAGAATTGTACACCCACTTCTCCTTGCTTGAAAGTCTTCTAAAGGGGGAAGTTTCCTTTTGTGGTTACATTGAAGTTTAAATTGATGTTTGTTGCTGGTCCTACAAAAGGCCCATTAAGCAGCTGGCATTCATAGACAGAGCGCTCCTGTCTTTCTCAAGGCTGTTGATATTGCATGTAATGAATATATACCTGTTTTAGAATATTATGAATAGTACACAATGCACTTTATAAAATGGAACATATAGAACACTTTAACTTATAAATAAGGTTTTTGCAGTGTATATATTTGTTGTTTGACCCGTAGAAATCCATAGCAGTGGAATCCTCTGAACTGATTTGTTGACCTCGCAAATGCATAGAAACTAACTAGCTTGGAGTACTGAGCGCGTCCGACACTCTGCCAGATCAAAGGAAGAAGCTGGTGCTACCTAGCAACCTTTCAAACGTACAGCACGTTTCCTGACATCACAGGCCTCTTTGCGACTGGTGTGGCTAATTATATCAGAAAGCTCCTGGAATCTTAAACTGCGATCAAACTGCAAGGAAGAAGCTGTGTTCTGACACATTCGTCGGATAAATATTATAATAACTCTTCACGCTTTTAAAACTTCCAGGGGATAATGAAATCCAGGCTGGCATGCCCAACAGCAGGCCGCAAAGGGCTGGCAGCCGATAACCAGAGCCAAGCTAATTTCAGTTGTACAGCTGTGTTAAAACAAGCCAGAGAAGGGGTCACAGTGTGCAGATACATGCCAACAGACCAAAAACCACTGTGGTAAAATTAACAATGACACATTTAATAATTCTAAGAGCATCAATATGTGAAGCTATTAATCTTACAATATGGTTAGATAATTCAGACATAGGCAAAGCAAAGTCCAAAAGGACCAGCAAGGATTATTTTAGGTATAAGCTTCCAAGAGTCAAAGCTTCTTATATCTGACGAAGGGAGCTTTGACTCTCGAAAGCTCATACCCTGAAACTCTTGTTGGTCTCTAAAGTGCCACTGGACTCAAATATAACTAAGATCCTCCAGGGTATACAAGCTTTCATGAGTCAAAGCTCCTTTCACCAGTTCTCCATCTTCAGCTCTGACAAAGGAAGCTTTGACTCCCGAAAGCTTATCCTTCAGAGCCAAGCTAGAGGAACATAATAACCTTGTGGTTCGGAGGACTACACCACTTCAGACTGTGAGTGATGAGGAAGACTGTGGCTCAGTGGCAGAGCATCTGCTTGGCATGCAGAAGGACCCAGGTTCAATCCCTGGCATCTTCAGTTAAAAGGACCAGGAAGTAGGTGATGTGAAAGACCTCTGCCTGAGACCTTGGAGAGATGTAAATAGGGGCCATGGCTCAGTGGAATATCATCAGCTTGGCATGCAGAAGGTCTCAGGTTCAGTCCCCGACATCTCCAGTTAAAAGGACCAGGCAGGAGGTGATTGGAAAGACCTCCACCTGAGACCCTGGAGAGCTGTGGCTCAATGGTAGAGCATCTGCTTGGCATGCAGAAGGTCCCAGGTTCAATCCCCGGCATCTCCAGTTAAAAGGACCAGACAAGTAGGTGATGTGAAAGACCTCCACCTGAGACCCTGCAAAACTATGGGGAGGTGCGTGGCTCAGAGGTAGAGCATCTGCTCTGCATGCAGAAGGTCCCAGGTTCAATCCCCAGAATCTCCAGTAGAAAGGACCAGGTGGTGAGAAAGACCTCTGCCTGAGACCCTGGAAAGCTCCTGCCAGCCTGTGTCCTTGGTGGACCAAGGGTCTGATTCAGTACAAAGCAGCTTCATGTATTTGTGTGACCCCATGTCTCAAATCCACCCTGCTCGTACACATCAGGGGGGTGTACGGGTTCAATCGCAATGGCTGGGCCCACGTGCAGCATCAAGGCAGGTGACTCCCCGGCTCAAGCAAACTCTCAACGGCAGTCCTAATTGGCCTGTATGCGCATTTCATTTGTGTTCCCAGAAGTGCTCAGACTTGGGGGGCATCAATCAATTGCCATTTCTTTAAGCCGGGCCAATGCCTTGTGGTTAACAATGGGTTGGATCCAAACTAAATTGGCAGTTTCCACCAGTTCCTTCTTCCCTCTTGTGTCATGACCACATGAAGCTGCTTAATAATGGATCAGACTATGAGTCCATCAAGGTTAGTATTATCTTCTCAGACAGGCACTACATCCTCTGGCATCACACCTACTACCTGAGCTATTTAACTGGAGAGGGCAGGAATTTCCATAATATCATGGGATTTTATAGAATTCACTGAAGTTTACAAAATGTGGTCTGATATTACTGATCGAGAGCATATTTACTAGCTTTTATTGAAAAGACGTTCGGTCTAAATTTTTATCATTTCTTGTAATTATATGTAATGTATTTTATAGTTGCTGTTTGCATGTTTGGCTTAAGACCTCAGGTCAATGAAGCTAATAAATGAAATGGAAAAAATGGAGATGGCAGGGATTGAGCCTGGGACAGTCTACCACTGAGCCATGGCCCCTCCCTATTCATGAGGGTCTCCAGCCAGTTCGATGTAGTGGTTAGGAGCTCTAATCTGGGAGAACTGGGTTTGATTCCCTGCTCCTCTACATGCAGCTGCTGGTGTGACCTTGGGGCAGTCACGAGGTCTCTCGGAGCTGTTCTCTCAAGGGCAGTCCTCGAAAGAGCTCTCTCAGCCCCACCTCCCTCACAGGGTATCTACTGTGGGGTGGGGAAGGGAAAGGGATTGTAAACCGTTCTGAGAATCTTTTGGGTAGTGAAGGGAGGAAATAAATCCAATCTCCTCCTCCTCCTCCTCCTCTCCCCCCAGGATCAGCATTTCATGGAGGCAGGGAAGTTCCATTCCACTGATGGAAAATTTAGCCTGGATCCAACCCATTATCATTTCCTGATGCTTTGGGGGCTCAGAGGGGAAAGACGGGGGGAGCTGGGCGTTACCGCGCCACTCACCTGCTCCTGGCCGAGAATCAGGACCCCTCCCGGTTTAATAGGGTGCCACGGAGCCAAGTTGGCCACGGTGCCCAGTTTCTCCCCATCCTGGAAGGCCTCCCACATGCCGTCCCGTGTCGTCCAGGTGATGCAGATGTGGTGCCACTTCCCGTCGCTGATGAAGAGTGGGAGCTGCGCGACCTGGGCAAAGACAGTGGGTGTGAGTGCACAACGCTGCCGCATGTCCGAGAAGAGCCCGTGCCTCGATGAGGAACCTCTCGCCTCACCGGTTCACCTCCGAGCAAACCGGTGTTTTTTGGAAATAGCCCTCGAGATGAATCGCTAGGGACAGTTCGGGAGGGCAGGAGGGGGATGCCGGCTCTCTCTTGCCCCCGGGGGAATGTTCCTCAGGAACCGGACAATCGACGAGTTCTGTACAGTTGCCTGAAACTAGGGTTGCCAACTTTGGGTCGGGAAATTCCTGGATATTTTGGGGTGGAGCCTGGGGGTGGCAAGGCCTGGGAAAGGGAGGCCGCTCGGCAGGGATGTGTTGATGCAGGGTCTACCCTTCAAATTAGCCCTGTTCTCCAGGGGAACCGATCTCTGTCACCTGGAGATCAGCTGTAACTGGGAGGTCTCCAGGTCCCACCTGGAGGCTGGCAACCATACCTGCAACAGACACCCACATGGTTTGCTGTGTTTGCGTTCACCTTCTCCCTTCCTTCTACCCCTTGCACACAGGAAGCCGTTCCAAACTTCCCAGTTGGATCATGCTTTGCCATGGAGGGGGGACAGGATACAAGTCCAATCAATCAATCAATAATAAAATATCAGAATGTGGGCACCATGGCAAACTGGAGCCTGTTTACCGTCCCCCATCACCACGCTCAAATTGGGAGTATCAAATGGAATGGAACCAAGGCTCCAAAGCGCGTGCAGAGTGTATGCGCATGTTCTGGGCAGTGTTCCCTCTAAGATGAATTAATGTGAGCTAGCTCACAGTTTTTTAGCCTCCGGTTCACTCATTTTTGTCTTGCTCAGGAAGGACGGCTCCAGAGCAAACAAATTTGTGCAGTAGCCAAATCGCTCGCTCACAACTTTAATGCCAGTAGCTCACAAAGTAGAATTTTTGCTCACAAGACTCCGCAGCTTAGAGGGAGCCTTGGTTGGAAGGCCAGGACTATGGGATTAAAATCAGGGTCTGGATCCAGATGGCAATTCAGCCTGGAGAGTGTACAGGATGAACAGCAGCACCTTCTGAATGAGGCACGAGTCTCTTAGCAACCCATTTACGGCCCTCTCATGGAATAGATGTTTATGAATCTATCGCATCGCGTCAGCATACTGGTTTAATCCCTCCTCCCTCCTTCTGGCTCTGGTCACATTTTAACCGGACAGTTTAAGCGCCCGGATCGATAGATAAGTGACTTATGGCCCAATTTTAAAACAGCTGAGCCAAGAAATCCTGTTTCAATAAAAGGGGGGCTCAAATCCAGCAAAGTAACTCCAGAAGAGATATAACAATCGACCTCAACTTCATAACAACATCAGAAGAGCCCTGCTGGATCAGACCAGTGAGGATCCATCTAGTCCAGCATCCCGTCTCACCCAGTGGTCAATCAGTTCCTCTGGAGGGCCAACAACAGGGCATGTAGGCTGAGGCCTTCCCTTGATAAGAACATCAGAAGAGCCCTGCTGGATCAGATTCGTTGTCCATCTAGTCCAACATCCTGTCTCAAATATTGGTTAACCAGTTCCTCTGGAGGACCAACAACAGGGCACAGAGGCCGAGGCCTTCCCCGATAAGAACATCAGAGGAGCCCTGCTGGATCAGACCAGTGGCCCACCTAGTTCAGCATCCTGTCTCACCCAGTGACCAACCAGTTCTTCTGAAGGGCAAACAACAGGGCATAGAGGCTGAGGCCTTCCCCTGAGAAGAAATTCAGAAGAGCCCCACTGGATCAGTGGCCTTCCCCTGAAGTTGCCTCCTTGTGGCTCTGGGATTCAGAGGTTTAGTGCCTCTAAATGTGCAGTTTCCCCTCAGTCTCCATGGCACGTAGCCATTGATATACTTTTCCTCCATGAATCTATCTCATTCCCTTTTCAAGCTGTTTATTCCTGTGGCCATCACTACATCCTCTGGCAGCGGATCCCATATTTTAATCACTCCCTGTGTAAAGAAGTATGTCCTTTTGTCCGTCCTGAACCTACTGCCCATCAATGTCATTGGATGCCCTCAAATTCTAGTATTCAGGGAGAAGGAGAAAAGGGATCCAACTCCAGCAGGGCAAAGATCCGACGCCAGTGCTTGTAAATGGGGCCAAGTTGGTGGACATTATCCAATATGCTGGACAGCTTCCTTCCCATCACCAGTTAGACATGGTCGGGATGAAAGATTGCCATGGGGCTGCTTTGTGGCCCTACAGAGCTAGTGAAGCACAGTAGGTGAGCAATGAATCTAGGGTTGCCAACCTCCCCGTAGGGGACCTGGAGATCTCCTGGAATTAACTAACCTGCAGATTATAGAGATCCATTCCTCTGGAGAAAATGGCTGCTTGGGAGCATGGACTCTATGCCTTAATACCCGGATGAGGTTCCCTCCCCAGGTTCCACTCCCCAAAATCCAGGTATTTCCAAACCTGAAACTGGCAACCCTAAATGGGTCCCAAGTTCCAAATCTCACTGCACACTTTGCACGTGCTCCCACTCACGCTTACAGGGCTCTTGTAAGGACGACAAGAACCATGACATAGACGAAGAGCACGAAGCTCTCCAAAGCGGAACACAAAGGCCACGTGCTATTATTTTCAAGACGAAATTGCAAAAAAAAAAAAACCCACTGCAAAGGATCTTGTGCCTTCGAAATGTATGCTTGGTATGGGAGCCAGTTCAACTGTGAATAACCAGGGTGCATAAACACACCTGCCCAGTTCGAGCTCATGAAGCTGCCTTATACTGAATCAGACCCTGGGTCTATCAAGGTCAGCATTGCCTACTCTGACTGGCACCGGCTCACCAGGGATTTCTCAAATAACCACCAAGGAAGTCCAGGGATGGCGCAGGCTAGACTGATCTCATCAGATCTCAGAAGCTAAGCAGGGTCAGCCCTAGTTAGGACTTGGATGGGAGGGTTGCTATGCAGAGGCAGGCAATGACAAACCACCTCTGCTCATCTCTTGTCCTGACATGGATGGCCCAGGCTAGACTGATCTCATCAGATCTTGTTAGCTAAGCAGGGTCAGCCCTAGTTACGACTTGGATGGGAGACCACCAAGGAAGTCCAGGGTTGCTACGCAGAGGCAGGCAATGGCAAACCACCTCTGCTCATCTCTTGCCCTGACATGGATGGCCCAGGCTAGACTGATCTCATCAGATCTCGTTAGCTAAGCAGGGTCAGCCCTAATTAGGACTTGGATGGGAGACCACCAAGGAAGTCCAGGGTTGCTACGCAGAGGCAGGCAATGGCAAACCACCTCTGCTCATCTCTTGTCCTGACATGGATGGCCCAGGCTAGACTGATCTCATCAGATCTCAGAAGCTAAGCAGGGTCAGCCCTAGTTAGGACTTCGATGGGAGACCACCAAGGAAGTCCAGGGTTCCTACGCAGAGGCAGGCAATGGCAAACACCTCTGCTCATCTCTTGCCCTGATCTGAATGGTGTAGGCTAGCCCGGTCTCATCAGACCTCGGAAGCTAAGCAGGGTCGACCCTGGTTTGTACTTGGATGGGAGACCACCAAGGAAGTCCAGGGTTGCTATGCAGAGGCAGGCAATGGCAAACTGCCTCTGAACATTCCTTGTCTTACAAAGCCTATGATCCCTGCAACTTGATGGGGGGGAGGGAACCCAGACCTTTGGTATGATTTTTTTTTAAGCCGAATCAAACCCAATGACTGTGCAAGATCACTTAGTGCCCCTGGCTTGCCTCTGCTTGTCTGAAAGGAAAGGAGCCCTTCCAAAGCACTCCACACCCTTCATCTAGCTGTCACCCTTCACAACAGCCCTTCGAGGTGGTACAGGATCCTCAGCATCTCTATATTGCAGGTTTGGGGGGGGGCCTTCCTCACCTTGTCGTTAATCAGGAGCTCGATGGGGTTGTTCCCCCACTCGATCAACACCACTTCGTTCGCCTGGCCGGGGACGGCGTACGAGAAGGGCGTCCCGATTCCAGGTGAGGCGCTCGACTTCAGCCACAAGCACACGGTGAAGGCGTACAGCTCTGGCAGGGTCTTCTTCACCTTCCCATACAGGTAGTTGGTGCGGAGGGGCAGGGAGACTTTGAACTCATCTGGCGACTTGAAGGCGCTGGTACCTACAACCACATCCCGACAGGAAGCAACACGGTTAATGACAGAGCCAGCCCGTTTCACCAGTTGAAGTGTTGGACGGGGACTGGAGAGACCCAGGTTGGAATTCCCACCTCTTCCATGGAAGCTTATTTTGTGACCCTGGGCCAGTCACATGCTCTCAACCTAGCCCTACCTCACAGGGTTGTTGTGAGGGTGAAACAGAAGAGAAAATTGTGTGAGCTGCTTTGGTCAACACTGGGAGGAAAGGTGGGGTATAAATTAGATTAGGTAGGTAGATAATAGGTAGGTAGGTAGGCAGGCAGGCAGGCAGGTAGGTAGGTAGATAGATAGGCAGGCAGGCAGATGATAAGCAAATCCTAGATGGAAGAAAGAGATAGATGGTAGATGATAAAAGAAGGGAAGGAAGGAAGGAAGGAAGGAAGGAAGGAAGGAAGGAAGGAATGGAGCCCAGGGGGTGGGCACATGCAACAAGCCCTGCCCCCAGCTCCCAGCAGCCCTCAGCTGGGCCACAAGGAGCAAGAAGCAACCAGGTAAATTGCAGAGCCTCCCCCTCAGGTACAAGCTCTCCCTCCTCTGTGAGAGCAGATCTGCGCGTCCCCCGTCCCCATAGCTAGCAATCCAAAACAGTCCAGTGGCACCTTTAAGACCAAGTTTTATTCAGGTACAAGCTCTCCCTCCTCTGTGAGAGCAGATCTGCGCGTCCCCCGTCCCCATAGCTAGCAATCCAAAACAGTCCAGTGGCACCTTTAAGACCAAGTTTTATTCAGGTACAAGCTCTCCCTCCTCTGTGAGGACAGATCTGCACGTACCCCGCCCCCCCCATAGCTAGCATTCCAAAACAGTCCAGTGGCACCTTTAAGACCAAGTTTTATTCAGGCACAAGCTCTCCCTCCTTTGTGAGGACAGATCTGCATGTTTCCCCCCCCCCCAATAGCTAGCGATCCAAAACAGTCCAGTGGAGCCTGAGTGGTGGGTGTTGCGTTCTGACACACTTCCGGTGATGACAGGGGGGGTGGCATATGCAAATAACTTATGCTAATGAGTTATGCTAATGAGCCCCTGCACCTCTTTTTCTACGAAATGACCCCTGGATGGATAGATAGATAGATAATGACAGACAGACAGACAGACAGATGATAAATAGATAGACAGATAAAGATAGATAATGACAGACGGATGGACAGACAGACAGACAAATAGATAAGGACAGACAGACAGTTAACTAGACAGAACATCACCTCATTGACAGAGGCTGGCTTAGCTATGTCAAAAAATACTAACAGCCGAGGTTGCCAGCCTCCAGATAGGCCCTGGAAATTTCCCAGAATTCTAACTGATCTCCAGGCAACAGAGACCCTTCCCCCCTGGAGGACATGACCACGTTGGAGGGTGGACCTCTGCGGCACCACCTCCTTACTGAGCTCCCCCCATTTCCCCAGGAATTTCCCAGTACAGAGTTGCCCATCCCACTAACGGGGCAATCCTAGGCGGAGTTCCTGCTGTCAGTTTTCAATAGGCTTAGAAGAGGCATCGCCCTGCTGAGGATTCCACCGAAAGAGATCTAGAAATCAGAATTTTTCCTCCTCTTACATTTTTTTAAAAGTAAAAATATCCAGAGAAGCATCAGCAATTGGAATGTTTTGTTTCAAGGAACTTCCACCCTCTTCTTGCTGTGGGAAAAAAACCCCTTGTGTCCAGATACTTATATGCTGATGGAGTCGACTACGGTTTAACCTTCATAAAATGGCTGCGTTCACATTAGTGGAAAAGCCCAACCATTAATTTGTCAGAACAAGTCAATGTCTAGACTTAAAAAGGTAAAGGTTTCCCTTGCTCGAAAGCGAGTCGAATCCAACTCTAGGGGGCGGTGCTCATCTCCGTTTCCAAGCTGAAGAGCCAGAGCTGTCCGAAGACATTTCCGTGGTCATGTGGCCTGCATGACTAAACGCCAAGGCGTACGGAATGCTGTTACCTTCCCACCGAAGCAGTACCTATTTATCTACTTGCAATTTCTTGCTTTTGAACTGCTAGGTTGGCAGGAGCTGGGGCCAGAGACAGGAGCTCACTCCATCACGTGGCACTCAGATCTCGAACTGCTGAGCTACCAACCTTCCGGTCTGCAGTTCAGTGTCTTAACCACTGGGCAACCGCAGCCCCTTTGTCTAGACTTACTGATACTATAAATATCATTTATGGAGAGTCTGCCTTTAAACAATTCTGGTTGTCCATAAAAATGATTATGCAGAAGGATTTTGCGTTGCATCCCTCGAACGCATGGTATTTCAACACACAAAGCCCAGCCAAGTGTGCAGTTTCTCAGGAATGGGACATCTCAGCATCTGATTAAATGATTAGGATTAAGAGGGTCGTGTCCGTCCCCCCCGGTGGCTCCATACATAATCCACAGGAAAGGTTATCCGTTCAAAACAGGGATGTGCTCACCCCTGAGGATTGTGGGAGCACTTGAGGACTGCAGCACTCCATCTAGTCCAATCCCCTTCACTCTGCAGGAGCATAGCCAACAGATAGCCCAACAACATACCCGAAAGATGGTCGTCCAGCCTCCGCTTGAAAATGCCCAGCGAAGGAGCATCCACCACCTCCTGAGGCAGTCTGTTCCACTGCTCGACCACTCTTTCAATTAGGAAATTTCTCCTGATATTTAGCCAGTAACGACTCCCTTGTAATTTCCACCCATTAGACCTAGTCTTGCAATCCAGAGCAAGAGAGAATAGATCCGCTCCATTTTCTACATGACAGCCCTTCAGATACTTGAAGACTGCAATCGTGTCCCCTCTAAGCCTTCTCTTTCCCAGGCTAAATATACCCAACTCTTTCAGCCTTTCCTCATAAGACTTGGGTTCCAACCCTCTCACCATCCTGGTTGCCCACTTCTGGACACGCTCGAGCTTGTCAACATCCTTCCTAAAATGTGGTGCCCAAAACTGGACACAGCACTCCAGGTGAGGCCTGACCATAGCAGATTAGAGCGGAACTACCACCTCCCGTGATCTGGCCACAATGGTTCTGTGAATGCATCCCAGGATTGCATGTTGAAGCAAGGGAGGGAAACAATATGGAGTTCCCTGCCAAATCGATGACGATATCACAGAAGGGAAGGGGAGAGAAAAGTATGTCCAAAAGGCATAATTGTTTTTCAATCGGCCTTCGCGGTTACCTCTTTCCAGCTCAGAAACTCTTTCCAGCAGTGCGTTCAAGGCTGCCTCGGTCCTTTGCCGGTGGGAGGAAGTCTCGTTGTGGAGCAGAGATTTCTCGTTCTCCAGTTCTGCCACTCTGCTGAATAGCTGACGCTCTAGATCCCCGAGTCTCTTTTGAAGCATCTCGCGGAGATCAAGAGGCAGGGCGGCGTAGGACACATTGGAGCGGAGTTGATGCTGCGGGAGGGGAGAGGGGGAGACAAAACCATACATCGTCGTTGCTGATGGTGACATCAGCCATTTCTTAGACATCATTAAGCCGGCTTCCTATTAAAACACATACAAATGCCTCGGTGGACTGTTGTTCGTCGTTTGTTGTATATTGTTCCAGATGACTTACAGTGACCTCAGAGGGTTTTCAAGGCAAGTGACATTCAGAGGTGGTTTGCCCTTGCCTGCTTCTGCATTACATAACAGCCCGGAGGCTGGCTTCGGAGTACGTATCCCTCGTTAGAATGGAAACCGTGGCTGTAGCCCTGAGAAGGCTTTGAACATGGAATCATAGAGTTGGAAGGGGATCCCCCAGGGTCATCTAGTCCAACCCCCTGCACAATGCAGGGAATTCACAAATACCTTTCCCCCCCACACACCCCCAGTGACTGCTGTTCCACACCCAGAAGATGACAAAAAACCTGGCCTGGATCTCCGACCAAACTGGCCTGGAGAAAAATTGCTTCCTGACCCCCAAAGTGGTGATCAGCATTTCCCTGGGCATGTAAGAAAGGGCCACGAGAACTAAGCACCGCTGCAACCCTTCCTGCCCTCCCTCTCATGATCTGCTTAAGCTCACAGAATCAGCATTGCTGTCATATGGCCATCCAGCCTCTGCTTGAAAACCTCCAAAGAAGGAGGGCCCACCACCTCCCGAGGAAGCCTGTTCCACTGAGGAACCTCTCTAATATGCATGAAGCTGCCTTATTATGTATCAAGGACCAGGGGTCATTTCCTGCAGGAGCGCACAGGAGTGCAGCTCTGGCAGTAAAGAGCCCCGGGGTGGGGACATGCAAGAAGCCCCACCCCCTGCTCCCAGCAGCCCTCAGTCAGAGCAAGAAGCAGCCAGGTAAGTTGCAGAGCCCCCTCCCCCGGCCCACCAGTCGAAAACAGTCCAGTGGCACCTTTAACACCCAAGTTTTATTCAGGTACAAGCTCTCCCTCCTCTGTGAGGACAGATCTGCACGTCCCCCTCCCAATAGCTAGCAATCCAAAACAGTTCAGTGGAGCCTGAGTGGTGGGTGTTGCCTTCTGACACACTTCC